CTTAATAAACTGTAAATGTAGCATGGATATATATTTTCTTCCTTTGTGCCCATTCTCAAGGTATCTTTTTTATGAGAAAATTTACATGTTTTGTTAAATTAAAGGCCTTACACTCCAGTGAAATTAATTTTTAAATTCCTGATGTGAATTGCATGTATTAGGAGTTTTTTCCAAGCAGATACAGTCTAATGTAAATGTATCTTTTTCAAAGAAAATTTATAGCATGTATTAGAAAAACATTTCTTGGTAAGTGCATTAGAGATTTAGAATCAGCTAAAGTAATTGGTACTGTTTCATAAACTGAATCCTTGGAACGATTTAATGTAGCAATAAAATGTTTGTTTCTAAAGCAGGGTGTGAGACTTGGCACAGGTTGGCTGTCTACACTATGGTTGCCATAGAGACCCACAGTGCATTCATCTTATTATTCCAGTGACTGCTGCTCTCCTGNGGGCGCAACACCGAGGGTTGCGATCCCGTTGCCGGTCCCGGTCCAGTACGGGCACGACACTAAGGGTTGCGATCCGTTGCTGGACACAAAAAAAGGAAAAAAAAAAAAAATACTCTAGTCTCAGCGAAGCCAAGCACATTTTCCTGGGAAAGTAGGGTATGAACCAGATCTGTCTGTTCTCTCCTTGACCCTCAACTCCAGTATAACTAGCTTGTCTGTAACTGGTTATCTCTTGTGATTAAGACCACATCGCTTGTGGTTCTAAAAAGGCCAAAGTCTCCATCTTTTCATTCCCTTATAAACTTTCAAGGCTACATCCTCGATGCGAACCACAAAGATCTCTTAAGTGAGTCCAAGTTCGCGCATTCTATAATCTAGTTGGGATGAGACTAAATTTTTAAGGAAAACCAGTGAGATGAAGTGAGCAAGAGAAAATTTCTTGAGTTTACTAGATAAGATGTTGACACTAGAGGGGAAATATATTATCTGAGCTGAAATAATGGGATAATTATGATAATAGCAAATACTGAGCACTATGATAAGGGCTTCTAATATGCATATTAACTCATTTGATCCTAACAAATGGCTGAATGAGGTAAGTTCAATTAGTACTCCTATTTCATGGGCAGGGAAACTAAGGCTCAGTGAGATGCAGAAACTTGTCTATGGACCCGCAACTAGAAAGTGTCAGAGCTAAGGAGGAGGACATGTTGAGGAGATGTTGAGGAAATGGAAGGCCTCTGGAAACTTTTCTAAGCCACCAATAGCACCCCCTACAAACACCTCACCCTCCACAAGAGAGGACATTACTGCTCCAGAACTCAGCTGGAAAACAAGTCAAATAACTTTCTGAACAAGTAGCCTGCAAATCTTAATAAACTGTAAATGTAGCATGGATATATATTTTCTTCCTTTGTGCCCATTCTCAAGGNTGGTTGCCATAGAGACCCACAGTGCATTCATCTTATTATTCCAGTGACTGCTGCTCTCCTGCTGGCTGTCTGATTCCGTCCCACCACACTGTCCCTCCACTTATCCACCAGTGTGCCTTACTTTAAGCAAATACAACATACTTTGGAAAATTCGTATGAGATTTCTCATATTATCTTCCAGGACACAGTTTAAAATGCATTAAGAGAATTCTTCATTTAGACAGATCTTACTGAATCCTTTCAGAGGGTCATCAATTATTTGTAAAAAAGTTTCCCTTAACTGTTTTTTAAAAACATTGCATGTTTATTTATCAAGACTTGCCTAAATTAAGGAAATTCATAATTTCCTAGCTTTAATTCTAGCCTATTATTAAATTAGGAACATTTCATCAGTTTGGGATTTAATACATCTGAAATATCAAGTCATTCAAACAGAGCAGGAAGAGAATAGACTGATTAATCTACTTGCAATAAAATGCAAACAGATGTCTTTACTGTTAGAAGCATACTACTCCTTTATAAGCTATGGTGAAGATAATATGACACTATAAATCTTTTTTTTTTTTTTTTTTTTTTTTGGCTGGCCAG